ACGAAGCTGAACTGAAGAGCCCTAAACCCAAGAAGTCGGTAACCGGAAATTCTCTTCCAAGAAAAGATACCATCCCAGAAGAACCGTCTGAAAAAGCACAGGAAATCCAAACAGTGGATTCCAAAACTCCCAATCCCGATCCAGATCCAATTCCTGATATTCCTAAASAGACTCCGCCCATTGAGGAAAATAAAAGCCAGGACGAGCAGCCTCAGAGTGACAAGGAAAGTGATCCTTCAAAAGAAATTGAAGACATTGGTATTGTCCCAACCCCTGAAGGGGGAGAAGAGCGCGAAAATATGGTTAGGGCTTCAAAGTTGTCTCAAACGAGTCAAGACTCAAGCACTTTGGATGAGGAATACGTAATTATCGAGAATGAGAAGCAAAACCAGAAAGAGGCAAAACCAAAGCCAGGTAGTTATTGCCGTAGCAATCATTGATTTACCCCCGAGAAATGAGTGTTTGCGCATGCGTACGTTTCAGCAGAACGTTTTCTACAAATAGTTGGGTTAGGCTTCACGAATTYGCAACGTCCCCTGTGATTGGTTAGGTTTAGGGGCGGGGTTGGGGAAGGGTCATTGTTTTCTATTGTTCTACACATGTGCGCCTTCCAATAGGATCACATCTTGCAAATTCGTGAAGGACGACCCAAATAGTTGGCGAGCGTCATTCCTGTGAGAATAAAAGAACAAAAGACGTGGCCGCTATTTTGGTTGAATTTGACAAAAGAAACCAAGACTAAATCTTTTATTGAAGCCATCCAACATGGCGACTTTGACGTCATTAACCAAAGAATTCGAGAGATTTTGCTAAAAAAAAACTTCAATTCTCAAACATTGCGATTAAAAAGTACTATTTTCAATATTATTTGCTTTAATATTGATAAACATATATAATAATTGTCCAACAACAATACAACAACGAAGACCAATTTTATTCAATTGTTGCTATTATCATATTTACACAGTTTGGCGGCGTCGCCTGACATTACGTCACAAGCTAACCATGCATACGTCATTTGTAAGGGACGATAACATGGCTCCTGCCRCTGTCACAGCTCTCTTGATATCCAAGTAAGCTTATCTCTGGACCCTTTTACCTTGGGCAGAATATTTCTCCATTTCAGACCATGTGTTATTCCCTTGAAAATAAGATTCTTTGTTTGAGCTGTGTTCATATTCATTTGTCTTCTCATGCGCAAACGCTATAGAAACAAAAGGTAATCTAGAGAATGACATGTTCTGAAATGGGAAAATATTAGACCTAAGCAATAGGGATCTATCAATAGTAACAATAAAAACTTATCCAAATAGATTTATGATTACTTGTTGAACTAATACCTGATGCAGTTGAACTTCCCACTTATACAGCGGGTGGAGGCGGAAAGTATTATAGAAGGTTCAGTGGGTGGCTGTACAACCCTTTCCTACACAGGGATGCCTTCAAAATGAGAAGAAATGCGGGCCTAGCGTTTACTGGAAGCATGCGCCTTTTGCATATGTGATATTTGCTCATCAGGAGTGACTCATTTCCCTCCCCCTTCACCATCCTATACAAAGCCTTTTTTCCACCTTTGTGGCGGTGACAACGTTAGTTATAAAGACTGACCAGTAAACACACATCATATCAATTCAACTTTGTTCTCCAGAGACCATCGTAGGTTATTTGTTGGTGATGGCAGAGGTCGAATATACAGCTGGTCTGTTACTGATGCCGCTGGTAAGAACACTCGCAAAAACTGTCCATACGATTTTGTCGCGTGCGTCACACTGCCTGCAGTACACACTCTTTGTGTTAAGCGGCACACAGCGCGTGCACCGTAAAGTCCAGAAGACAATTGGTGACGGAACCACAAAAATAGTTGAYTAAAAGAGAATTTTTCCATCTCGAGCACGAGTAATACTAAATATTCCCTTCTTTTACTTACTAGGACGCATGCCAGCAGATCATTGGATAAAAGATGAAGGTGCCGAATCTTGTACTCAATGTCACGTACGATTCACATTCGCTGAGAGAAGACATCATTGTAGAGACTGTGGAAAACTCTTCTGTGCCAAGTACGCTATTTCCCTATCAATTACTATGACATATTTAGGGCGGTAAAAATGGGGTCATCAAGTATTCGTATTCATCTTGGTGAAATTTTATGTCTTTTATTCTCATTGTTGTTATTGATGGTTATTTTTTGACGTACTTTTTTAACTACCTTTTGGATAATAGTGATGTTTAATGGTGATAGTGAATGTCTATCTGTTTATCTGTCTTTCTGTTTATCTATCTATCTGACTCGCTGTATCTGTCTGTCTGTCTGGTTTTTTCCCTATCTATCTGTATGTCTGTATATTTGTCTGTATGTCGTTTCGTTATGTTTCGTCATTCTTATGTTACTTTTGGTATTTTACTTTGGTTTTTTATTCTAGTTTTCTTTTCCTTCTAGTTTACTATTATCAAGTACCCCCTCCCCCCAATTTTATAACTAATGAACATGACTTCAAATCCAGTATCATTTAACATTTTTCTGATTTGTATTTCAACATATTACCAGATGTAGCAAGTACGAGTCATCGATTCAACGTCTACGAATATACAAACCAGTACGAGTTTGTAAACCGTGCTACGACAAGCTGAGAAAAGAACAGGCCAGGGGAACATTATAACGAGACAGCTCTGCAAAATCCTTGAYATCGTTTTTCTCTTGAAGGCACATAGCTGGATTGCCTTTCCTTTTCTCTCACAACTAGCAATCCCCCATGATTTCGATTCCCTTTCTTTCTACGAGACGTCCATATAGACCTTTATCGAATTCGCTTGATTCGAAACAATTACTCCAAGTCGAGGTTGCACTTGATAAAACATAGTAAATATTTGAACACATGAAGGCCAACCTCGTCTTGGAGCTATTGTTTCGTAAAAAAGGCGAACCAAACATTGGGTTTGGTGCACTCTCGGCCCAATGTATTCGAGAGCAGTTACCTTCATCTACTCTACTGTTTTCTTCTTTTTTCTTGGGGTCATTTCGAGGGAAATACTAATATAATTGTAGGCCAGAGGTGTCTGCTAAACTAATTTTAAATTTACCATACTCCTGCAGACATATACTAAAAAATAGATAGTGGTCTTTGGGATGGTAAAAACGGGAAATTAAAAACAAAACAAAAAAACGCATTGAGCTTGCTAGTGTGGCAAGTTATTCTCACACTGTACGGTGGGTGTGAACGCTATTGAATTTTTGTAAATATATCACGTGTCTGACAAACAGGGTAAAGTGCATAATACTTGTTGGTAAATGCAACAGTGGGAATTCACAACCTTCAAGGTCATGACCTCAATTGAAACAAAGTTAACTAGTGTATTCGGTATTACATTCGCATACTCTTCTCTGGAGTTGAGCTCAAAAAAATTTGGAGCAAAGCTCTAAATCTCGACTGATTTCCTGGCCTTTAGGTCAATTAATTTTAAAATGYCCACGTCTTAGTATAATTAGTAGTATAATTAGTGTAATATGAACTGGGTTGAAATTTATTTTTCATTACTTTACTTGTGATATTCGGCTCCCTATAGGTAATATTCTAGGTGATATTTTACCTCGGTGGTCCCATAACTAATCCTGCAGTACACCATTAATGTGACTGATGGTATCAATGATTTTTTATGGCTAAATTTCATCTCACCTTAGTGGTCCTATAACTAATAATGCGGTACACCATTAACTTCAATAGTATTAATGAAATTTCATCACTAAGTTTGCTGCTAATTTATTACATTTAAAGAATATAGATCATATTATGTATCTAATAATGCTATCGTTATCTAACACATTTCTTCAATTTTTGTACAGYATAAAAAAGTAAGATTTTGAATTTTCTTATTTTTATTCCAAAATGCGTTGTACGGATTGTTCGACGATCATTTGTGGGTATCAAATGATGAAAACAAGGAATARTGTTCAAATAAAAGCTATTCAGTAAAATGTTATTATGAAAAATAGTGTTACCCAAGTCTCCCTTTCCCATTTAGGAAACCAAACAAATAAATCGAAAACGAAGAAAATATTTTGAAGAACATTAGATACATGAATATAAATAGGACTG